GGTGACTTCCTTTTTCTTTCTCTGTCCCTGCCCTGTCTTTCTGCTCTGATCTGTAAAATCCTTAATGAAATGCTGTGGGGCAGCCCTGCTTCCATTTAGGGAGGGGCAGGAATTCATCTCCTTTTCTCTCTTCTGGAGGGCCCCTATTTATCTGCTTCAGTGGTTTTTCTGTTTTCTTTCTTTCTTCCTTGTTTTGACAACCGGACACTTTCTTAGAATGAAATCTTGTATCCACTGTATAAACAGGTGAAAGTGAAGTTATGCAGATTAGAGAGGGAGGCAAGGCCCAGGAGCCCTGCCTGTAGGCCTCCCCTCCCCCTGACTCCCCTGGGTGGCTTCTGAGGCATCCTGGGGTTTCCCCAAACCACAGTAGAAAGCTAACCTGACTTGCTGAGAAACTTGAGGTTTAACAAAGACAATTGTTGTCCCCTAGGCCTGCAGCTCCTGTCTCCCAGCCCAGGGTTCTTTCTGCAGAGCTGGACTGCTGCTCTCCTGGCTCCTGGCTGCTCTTGTGATACCCTTGTGATACCCTTTGTGCAGGGTACAGTGCCCTAAGAGGCCCCGAGACAGGCGACCTATTCCTGAACCTTGACTCTGTCGGCGGCTGGGAGACCCTGAATAAATTACAGCTTCTCTGAACTGCACTTGCTTCACTAGAGACTGCAGATAGGATTGGATGACATGGTGTACAGAAAGCAAGGAGGGTGTGGTGACTACCCAGCACTTTGTAGGGGCCCTACAGGTGGCAACTCTTTTTATTAACTGAGCTAGTGAAAAGGGGCCCGTGGTCAGATGGACTGAGGATGGTGGAGAAGGCAGTTTGAAAGGCAGCACTGAGTGAGAGGATGGCCGGTTAAATTGCTTGAGCTTGAGTTCTGGGCCCCTCAGTTCTTCCCACTTTCTGTGCAGAGGGAAGGTCATAACCTTGGCTGTGAATTCTCAAACTTGGTGTACATTTGAGGGTCAAGTGTGGGGAGACACATCCCTAGCTGGAGCCCAGTGTTGCTTAAGTCATTCCTAATATCTCCCATCTTTTGACATGAGAGGCGTCAAGAGGCTGGGCGGGGAGGAAATGGGTGCTGGGCTCATGTTCCCCTGTACTGACCCCTTACCCCCACCCCCTCGTGGCTGATCTTGCAGCTGTTGTAACGTTCCTATTACCACATACTCCGATTCTTTGATAATGATGCTGAAGTTCTCTTCTCAGCTAAGCCCAGTCATAGGCCTGAGGATAAAGGGCATTGTGTGCTTTCCTTGCCTTTGGGGTCTCCAATGCCCCTTGGTCTGCAAGAGCCACCTGTGTCAGAAAGGAAGGAGCCCCTCCTGGGATCTGGTAGAGTCTACTCTGTAGGGGATCCCTGGGGATAGTTCCAGGCTCATGTGACTCCAGATAACAAGTGATGATGGCCTCTTCCTGCACATCTGATCTGGATTAAATGTTGTTTTCTACTTTTGGAAATAGCGTGCTGCGTGAGGGGGAAAACTCTAGGAGAAGCTAGAAAGCCAGAAACCCAGGCTCTATTCTGTGTGTGTCAGTAACCCATTGTTTGGTCCATTGGGTAGGAACTTTAAAATATTATTTAATCCTCAAATGAGTCCTGGCAGGCTGTTTTTAAAATACGCATTTATATATATGTAAGTYATATATGTATGTGTGTATTTATATGTATGTATGCTATATAATTTTAATAGAGGAAAGAGGCAGGGAAGAGGAGGGTGGCTTTTCAGTGATTCCTCCTTGTTGGCATAAAACCCAAGAGTAAGTTTTGGCGGTGTTAGTAGGCATGCAGGCAGAAGGTGACAAGCAGGTGACAAGTCGATGGATACGTATTTTTTATGTGCCAGCCTTGTGCCAGGTGCCCTGTAGCTACTAAGTCTTAAGAGATACTGTCTCTGACCTCAAGTTGCTTAAAATTGAGGTCAGAAGTAGAGATTACAACCCATAAAATTCTTAGATGAAAAACTGGGGGCAGTTTTGTGGGGTAGATGTGATCAAAGGGAGACTGTGAAGATAGAGTTTGGTTAGCAGAGGAGGCTAAGAGATGTTCCAGCCACTGGGTATTTGTGGTGGCAGGGAGGGTGCACAGAAGCCCAGGAGCAGGAATGGGTGTGATGGGTGCAGAATACAGTGAGATCAGGTGGAGGGAGAAGGCTCCTGGTGGAGAGCAGGGGTATGACTCTAAGGCATAAAAACGCTGGTTTCCAAAGAATCTTGAAAGGCAGRCTGAGGCCTTGAACTTGACAAGGCAGTGACAAGGAACTATCATATATGGAGAAATGGGGATATAATGCGATTAGAGCAGAGAGATAACCAAATGGGTGGGAGGCTGTTGCAATGACATGGGGCCCAATGCTCAGTCAAGGTCCAGTGACATGCTATTATTTCTGTGTCACAGATGAGGAAATGGAGACTCAGATACAGAACCATGTGTTTAAGTCTCAGTGACCAGCAAGTAACAAGGCAGCGATGCCTTGGAATGGATCTTATTGACACATACTTGAGGTTTTCCCCTTCTGTGTGCGTCTCCAGATGACCTTGGAAGAAAGGACACTCAGCAAAAGCTTATTAACTTTCCTTTCCAGAGGAAGACAGGTTCCTGCTTTTTAGTAAGAATTGCAGAGATCTTATTGGTAGAGGAACCTGAGGAGGCTGATGAGAAGCCTGAGTGTTGATGTTTGACCAAGGGAACAKTTGTCTCAAACTTTATAAGTCCAGGCTGCTGAACTCTGCTGAAGTTAATTATTTATTCAGTTAAAATTAATGCAATTTCCGTTAAATGCCTACTCTGTGTTAAGTACTCAGGGACTATGTGGGATCAATTAATTCATGACAACTACAGTGCTGAATTTTAATTGCAAGGGACAAAGCCAGCTCTGGCTAATGAACAAAATGACTGCATTGGGAGGATCCTGTTCAACTCACTGAGRGGATACTGCGGAAGATCTGCAGACCCTGCTGAAAGCCAGGGGTCACCCTGGACAGGAAGGAGGGTGGCTCTGTTGCATGCTGCCATTGGTTAGCTCAGCTCTGTTCACTTCAGACTCCCCTCACAAGTGACATTCCTCTGGGTGCTCAGGTCACCATTGATGGCCTCCCCAGAATCACATGGGATGTGATTTAGAGAAAGATTTATTGAATGGACAGCAGACACCTCCCCCGCAAACACACACAAAGAATCTACTTTAGCAGATACATAAGGCAATTCTGAACCACCAGGAGTTTATCATTAGAAAAAATAGATAAATAAAGGAATAAAAATAATAGCCTCTGGCGGTTGCTGTGTAAGCGTTGTACAAAGTGCTTAGGGAGGTTGTAAATTTTGCATGGGGGAGGCATGTGTCAGGTAAGGTACACAAAGGTTATCTGAACCAAGTTTTAAGGGCAGAGTAAAATTTTGCCAGTTGGACAAACGCCCTTCAGGAAGAAGCCCTTGGGTGACAGTAGTGATGTGAAAAAGAATGTGTGCAGGAAATATAAGGAATTCTAAGTGTGTAGACCATCAATGTGGGTGGGGCTGGATCTTAAAGGGCCCTGTGTGTTCTCGTAGGTATTTTGGGAGTTTTAATTCTAGCAGATGAGCGGTCATTAAATAACTTTAGGTGGCAGAGGGACGTGATCAGTTTCGTTTTAGGAAGATTATTGTGGAGGTATTAGATTCTACTCCCTTGAAAGTGCCTATTAATCTAGGGAAGCTGGTTTTTGCAGAGCAGCCAGAGAGTGAGATGCTGCGAGAGAGAGTCATGAGACTTCTCCAAGGTTGGAGAACCCGATATATCTATGGGAAATCCCAGTGACTCCTTGTGTGTGTGTAGGGGGATGGTAGTGGGTACAGGAAAAAGGCTCCTGGTGGTCTCTTTGCCTGTGGAGTTCTGAGTGTTTGGGTGACGTGTCTTGGGCCATAGGCTGCTGAAGGTTGTGCAGAAGCAGGCATAGGGGTTTCCCCTGCGCCACCTGCCCCCTCAGTATCCAGTTTGCTCTCTGTGTTTATGAGTTTGCAGTGTGCAGTTCAGCAGTGGACTGGGGAGAACAATCCGGAAGAATGTAGAAATAGCTCGGGCCCTTGTTGCGGGGTGGGAATGTAATCATTTCCTTAGCCATTTGGTGATTCTGCAGAGGAAGGTGAATAAAATTGAGAAATCGTGGGTCCCCAGAGRTTGCTGGGGCCGGGGAAGGGAGGAGAGTTTCCTTTTTCCTTTTGAACAATAGCTGACAGGGGACAGCATAGCACCATTTCCTTTGTAATAGGTGGTATCTAAAAACAGGAAAATTTTTTTTACTCCAGCTATGAGAATCCATAGTTCATGCTTTGGAGGAACTGTAGCTAGAATTTTCTCAAAGGGTCCAGAACCAGTAGATGGGTTAGATAGAATCTGCTTGTCGTTATGTGGTAGCTGAGTGGCTTTTGGCCAAGTTACTAAGCCTTCGTATGTTTTAGGTTCGACTAGAGTGAGTTGTTCAAATGCCATTATTCATACCGTCACTGGCTGTAGCAACAAGACCTAGCACTGGGCTCGGGGTGCATCTCAGTGGTAGAGTGCTCTCCTGCATGGGTGAGGCTCCTGTTTGGTTCCCAACCTGGGTTCGATTATCCCACCTGGGTTTGATTCCCCAGCACCAGAAAAGCAGCAAATGATAATCATCAAAATAGCAAAAACCCCTAGCATTTCAGTGTGTCAGGCCTGTGCAAAAGTGTTTATATCCCTAAATTCTGTGAGTTAGGTATTGATATTATCAGCATCTARCCGATAAGGCAACCTATGCCTAACAGGATGAGTAGCTTACTTGTTTTTCCCTTTCTCYCTGTCTGTCATCCCCTGCAAAAAGTCAGTAGATTTCAGATAGTACTACACCAGAGTTTTAAGACCTCATAGAGCTGCTGTAAGTTTTAAAGGAAATGATGTATAACAAGCTTAACATAGCTCTTGGGCCTTAGTGAGCATTCAGTGTTCACTACTTACTGTGTTTCTYTTCTCACTCGGCTCCTTTTTGTCTTTTATAGAAGCAGCTGACACAGGATGATGATGCCGACGAGGTGGAGATCGCTATTGACAACACAGCTTTCATGGATGAATTCTTTTCTGAGGTGGGCAACCTTCCTGCATTTTTTTGGGGGGGAGGGGGTGAATATACATAAGGAAACACAGCTTCCTCAGTAAGAGTAAAAAATCTGGGCTCTTTCAAGGGTGGCAGGCAGTCTTTTGTTGGGGTGAGGGGGCTGAAAATGTTAGAGGGGAGTCTCCAGTTCTTGTGAGCAACTGGAATCTTCCAGTCATCAGAGGGTAAATTACATGTAATTGAGGATATGCTTTTAAAATTGTATGCTACATGACAGCATTTTAATGATATCCTTTCTTGCCAAAGCACATAATTTAAACACATCAACCATAGGCTCACAGCCATGAGTGTAAAAATTGAATTTCATCTTGAGGCCTGATTCTGATAAATCAAATTTGTTGTCTCCAAACATTTTTATGGTCCCTTTGACCATAAAATTAATTTAATTAATTTTAGCAGTAACAGAGAAACCAAGAATCTAGCAGTTTATTTTTGTAAAGTTTAACAGGGGCCAAAATGGGTTGCCCATGTCTACAAATTCACCTGCTTGTTGATCTTGAAGGCCTTGTAGGGATGTTGATAGGTAGTGATGGAAAAGCAGTGGCTTTGGAGCCAAATGAACTTGGGCTCAAATCTCAGTCTGCTTCTGTCCAACTGTTGAGTTTGTGAGCTTTCCTTAACATGCTGAACCCTGGTTGGAGTCTGTCCTCATCTGTAAATTGACATTGATAATATCATAATTCCTTATAGGGTTATCATAACAATTGAGATAATGCTTAGAAAGCATCCAGAGTATCATCAGGCATATGTGTGCTCAATGAATAATATGTTAAAAAAGAAGGGGGGGGGGAACAACAAACCAGAAAGCTTATTGTTGCTGAAGTTTCTGCCATTGTATAATGGCTTCTTTATTTAGGTCCCCCCCACTTACCCCCCAAAAGAAAAGAAGAGGCATTGTGTTCTTTTTGCAGGGAAAATTTGGGCACTGCCCATCATCTGGATTGTGGATGTGGAAACGTAGCTTCCAGATCTCCTCTAAATGCAGTGGAGTGGGGCTTGACAGTCATGCCCATTCGTCTGCTAGAGTAATAACCAGGCTCAAGCGCAAACTTGAGCATGTATGTGCTGACCTGATTGGGAAGTGTGCTGTAAACCTCCACAGCTCCACACCCAACTTGTGGGTGGGTCTGTCCCTTTGGTCGGGGAAGTCGTGAGATCAAACGACGCTGGGCTTTTGTGAATCCAGTGTTATTCCACTTGTGGATCCTGGAGGGCAAATGTCCTCTGTTCATTGGGGGTTGGGTGAGAGGAGTAGCCTTCAGGAGACATTTGCAGATTCTGTAGTTTGTCCCTAATTCTTGCCCTGGAGAGCCACACATATTAAAGAATGTCTTCCCTAAGATGAAGAATCTCCTCTAGTAACTTCTTGCTCTTTTAGTGGGTGGGTGGGTCCTGGGAGTCAGTGTTCCTTATGAGGTAGGAAGATGATGGGCTTTGACTTGTGAGGCATGGTTGGAGTCTGTCCTCAAGCATTTTGTAGCAGTGTGACCTTGGTTAAGATACTTAACCCGTTTTAGCTTTAGTTTCCTGCTCTGGAAGTCAAGGATGTCAGCCTGTCCCTCTCAAGGCTGTTGGGAGAGTCAYATGAGCTCACGTATCTGGCAAGCATTCTCTGGACAGAAAAGTGCCCCATGTGCCCCATCTCTGTGATCCTTTGGGATTTTCCCTTAGGGTTAAGAGATCAAGTCTGTTCTGATTATCATTGCTTTATAACAAGCTACCCCAGTGTTTGGAAGAGGCCCCTGAGAGAGGTAGTGTGACCACCTCCAGGGCTGTTTGGATTCCTACTGCTTTCTTTGTGTTAAATGCTTTTTGATCACTTAGGAGAAAAAAACAAAAAAAACAAGGAAACCCCATCATATTTAAGGCAGAGAAGGGGACTGCATGGTGAGGTGAAAAGAGCACTGTGTGTCATGAACTGTGTGATATTGGTCATGTTCCATAAGGTCTCCATGTCTCTGCGGGTTTATCTGTGAAACGGAGAGAAAAATATTCAAAGCTTAGTTGGGCATGAGAAGAGCTGACACTGGGAAAGAGCTTAGAATGGGGTTAGGCAGTGTTGCTTCCCTCCTTTCTCATTTGCAAGAGCCCAGAGAGGAAAGATGCTGGGGGGTGGGGGTGGCACAGAGGCGAGAGGGAATGGTCACTGGAAGAGATCCTGCAGGCAGTGGTGAACAGATCCTACTCTAAATCTCAGCTCTGCCCATTGAAAAAGTTGTATAGCTACTTTAAACTCCAGTTTTCTCTCAAATGGGAATAGTACTGCAATCTACTAGTTGTTATGAATATAAAATGAGAAAGTATCTGGATGTACCCAGCACAGTGCCACCAAATTTTAGTCCTCATCACCCTTTTGTCCCCATATACTCATGAGTAAGCAGACCATAGAGTTCATTTTATAGAGCATGGCTTGGAAATATCCTTCATATTGGGATAAAGTACTCTGGATAATAGGGATTTGGGGAAGTGAAGGAGTTTCCCCTCTGTGTATGACTGAGGAACCTGCCCAGTGTACCCTGTAGGACATAGCTAACTAAGATAGCACTCTTGTGATAGACTTTGCTTTTTGGATTGGTGCCAACAGGACACCTTTGATTAGGTCCTTTGCTGAGAACTCATAGTGCAAGTCATGGGTTGGTCATAGAGGCTTGTGCAAGATGCAGATGAAATCATGGACCTCAAAACATATTTTCAGAATGTGCTTTGCAGTGTAAAATTTGAATGGCTTCTCTGTCTTCTCAGTTATTAAAGAATTGGCCCTTGGGTTTTCAGGCTACTTTGGCCAATCAACCCAGGCCTGGTAAATTATAAACCCTGGACTTTGTCTAATCTGCAGTTTTCTGTATTTTCCGTGGTCGTTTGCTCAGTTGGCAGAGAAAGCAAAGTTTTGGAGGAAATAAACCTGCCTCTGAAGGCAGCTGTCTATTGTTCTGTGTTCATCCAACCATGCTGACCGCCTCCTGATGGTGTAGTAGGTGCTGGGGTGCAGTATTCTGTGTGACAGGTCCTTGCTCTCTGGTGTCTTTCTATCTGGTGAGAGTGATAGAAATTTTAAAAAAGTTATCATATTGTAGTGGAAATATCAAAAAGGCACTGTGGGAGCACAGAAGAAGGAGTGTGGCCTTCTGCCTGGAGGAAGGTGGGCTTCTGGGGTTCTTTTTTTTTTTTTTTTTTTTTTTTTTTAGAGAGAGAGAGAGAGAGAGGGGAGAGAGAATTTTTTATTATTTATTTTTTAGTTTTCGGCGAACATAACATCTTTGTTGGTATGTAGTGCTGAGGATCGAACCCGGGCCGCACGCATGCCAGGCGAGCGCGCTACCACTTGAGCCACATCCCCAGCCCTTCTGGGGTTCTTATCTAGACTTGCACCTCAGATCTGCCTGGGAGCTCATGCGTACCCATGCCCGGTTCATAGAGACTGGGATGGCTCAGGTTTGGATTTTTCATTTCTTGCATCTGATTTTGCCACCTACTGCAGCAATGGACAACTGCAGAGTGGTGGGGAGACTTGGAGGGTTGTAAGTAAGGAAATAATGGGATCGGAGTGTGTTTTAGACAAGTCAATCTATGGCAATTTGTGGAGCAAAAGAAACTCCCAAAACAGAAATACCAGCAGATAGGCCAATGCAGCAAAGCATGGGGAAAAGAGTGGGGCTTTGGTCTGGATCTGTCAATCTGAGCAGTAGCATGGGGCATCATTTAGGGATGTTTTGACTAACTGTGGCTTAAGCAGTAAAGAGATGTAATTATTCCACGCGTGAAGAAGTTTCCTATTAGGATGTATTGGGGCTTCAGGCCAGCATCTCTGTGATCCTTTGGGATTTTCCCTTAGGGTTAAGAGATCAAGTCTGTTCTGATTATCATTGCTTTATAACAAGCTACCCCAGTGTTTAGTGGTGTAAAACAACTATTTTGTTATGCTGACAGATCCTTTTGATTGGGTATTTTTCTAGGGCACAATGGGTGGTATATCTCTGCTCTACAATATGTGGAGCATTGGTTGGGAAGAATTGAACTACCAGAGGCTAGAATCTAATAGAAACTTCAGTATTCTAAAAGTGGGTGCCTGGACTGGGATGACCAAAAAGAAAAGCTCAGTAGGAACTGTCAACCAAAGCCCTCAAATGTGGCCTCTGTGTCTAGTGTTCCTCATGGCATGGAGCACTCAGGGTTGCTGGACTTGTGACATGGGGTTCAGGGATGCAGGGCCAGTGTTCTGGCAACGAAACTTACGTAGCGCAGTCACTAGCCTGCCAGATTTGAGAGAGAAACCCAGGGATCCTACTTCTCAATGGGAAGAGCATTAAGGAATTTGTGCCCCTGTTTAAAACTACTCAAGAGTCATAGCTCTGTTTGACATCACCCAGCGTCAGCATCACTAGCAAAAAAAAAAAAAAAAAAAAAAAAAAATGGGAATTGCTAGAAAAGTCTAAGAATTCTTTTTATCAGGGAGGAGAGCTATCTAATGGTCAAACTGACTTCCTCTGTGGCTTACTGGCTATCACTGGGTCATGTGGTCATGACCATCCCTAGCTGGAAGGGTGCCAGGAAAATATGTACTTAGTAAAGGGACAAGATTACCAGGATCTCTGTAGTGCAGGTCAAGATCCATCATCTCAGGCTGGCAGCATAGCTGCCAAAACAGAAGAATTCTGTTAAAAAGAAAAAGAACAGCAGTCGAGGGGCTTGCTCTTTGGTGGGTCAAAGTACTTGTCTTGGAACACAGTGTGGGATGCAGAAAGTCTCTGTGATGAAGCGTGTTTGGAATTCCTGTTCTTCTCTCTTAGAAATTTAAAATGCACATTAACTTTTCAAAGCCTCCATGAAGTCCTGTTGTGAGGAAACCTGCTCACCTTGGCTAGCCCAGCATTGAGTTTTTCACCCTTTGTGACATGGAACTTCTTTTAACAAGGATGAATGAATACACTTTGGAAAATGCTATTAGAGAGTTTTCTTTTTTGGATTCTA